GGGGAATTGCCGTGCAACCACACTCTCGACAACCTTCGCCGTAAAGCGAAGGTTGGAGACCGGGCGATAGTTAGCCAACTCATCTGGGTCCAGGGAAGGCTTCTTGAGGAGGGGCCTCACAACGGCCTCCTTAAGGGCCGCAGGGAAGACACCCTCCTGCAAGGAAGCGTTAACAATTCCCTGGAACCAGGCTCGTGTATGAACCATCTGTCAAGCATCCAAATGTAAATCAAGTGTCCCTGGGGATGCTGCAATAGTCATATGTGCAAAAACCAGTCATAACTCACATTGTTCAGCACTATTGTAACTTTGGTCACTAAATGAACTGTAGTTAAGTCGAGGACACCCTGTATTTTGACCACCTTGGCTGCATTTCTTAAGAGATCAAATTTTATTTGGAATAACGCTTTATACCTCCAGAGAAACAAATGGGGTGTCCTGGACTTGCAAGGAAATCTGTTCTCCATCAATGGTGAATTTTCTGGAGTATAAAGCACCTAAGGAAAGAAAAAAAAAGAAAGAAAAGTAAGAAGATAATTAATAGATCAGAGATAGCATGTATTTATTTGACTTTCCGCCAGTTTTTGCCCCACAGAGTCCCCTCACTCTTATAAGTAATGATGCATCGTATTTTAAAGGATTTCACTTTTCTTGCTTCTAATGCAAGAACGTTGGGAGTCGGGAAGCATATACGTTTAATACATCATTATTCATTATTATTGTATAATTATTAATGTATTATTATTAATCCATTATTATTAATACAGGTAGGCCTTGACCTATGATCACAGTTGAGCCCAAAGTTACCGTTGCTAAGCAAGACAGTTGAGTTTTGCCCCATTTTATGACCTTCCTTGCCAGAGTTGTTAAGTGAATCACTGCAATTGTTAAGGGAATCTGGCGTCCCCATTGACTTTGATTGTCAGAAGAGCTCAATGGGGAATCACGTGACCTCGGGACACGGCGACCGTCATAAGAATGAGTCAGTTGCCAAGCACCCGAATTTTGATGATGTGACCCTGGGGATGCTGCCACGGTCATAAGTCTGGAAAATGGTCATAAGTCGCTTTTTCCTGCCCCATTGTAACTTGGGTTACTAAATGAATGGTTGTAAGTAACGGCTATAGCTACTAGAGGTAGTAATTTTCCCTTTCCTTCCCCTTCCCGATATTTTCTCCTAAACCCAATCTGAATCTCCTTCCAGGGAATTTAGGTAAGATAACCTTTATTGTCATTTTTTTTACTGTGGGCACAACGGCACACATCAAAAATGAAACTTAGTTGCCCGCTCTCAAAGTGAAACACATACATGATGCACACCTAAACATACTATGAACAACATATGTGTAGACCCACATCCCTACATATACGTAGCAAATAAATATTAAATACTGTCCATCTTGAATATATAACAGAAGGAGGAAGCTTGAGAGTTCACAAGGTTAATGCTGTATGGAATGAAACTCTGGCTGAATCTGGATGTTCTGCTACGGATACCACGAAGCCCCCCCCCCAGAAGGGAACAAGGAAAACGTCGTGAAGAGGATGTGTAAGTGTCCCAGATAATCTTACGGACCCTGCTCAAGCAGCGCTTCTGTGCCATGTCCTGGATGGGAGGGAGGGAACAGCCAATGATCTTTTTGGCCATCCTCACCACTCTCTGCACCGTAATTCAGTAAGTCCATAATTCAGCTCCTGCCTCAGGGGTGAAGAGCACAACCTAACCCCAGCCACTCTATGAGTATCTTTTAAACTTCTTTTTAATTTTTTTCCTTTTCACACCGGCCCAATTATTATTTTTAACTTACACTTATTCCTGCCGCACTAACCACAGCCTGACTATCTTTGGCCCAGGAGAGGCAAAGATATTTTTTCCTAGCAAAATCAGCCAAGACTCTGATTTGGGCTGCTTAACTAATTTATCATCACGAAACTTTTTATGGATGACTGTGCAAATGTTTTAACTCCAGTCAGTCTACTGTTGCTAACAATAAAATACCCAAGAGCAGAGGAGGGGGGGGAGTATTTGAATAATTACATTTCATAAAATGAAACTAGGTAAAAGGTTTTTAGAGATGCTGTTATGGAATATTAAATAAGCCAGAGTGTAGACTTTTACCCAACTGAGTTAAAAGTCAGTTTCCAATCTGATTTAGGAATCTTCCTGCAGGAATATGACAAATTGTGCATTATCCTTTGGACTTTGCTCCTTCATCTAAACCAGTCAACATTGATGACCTTCAGATGTGTGGCTGGCTGAGGAATTCTGGGAGTTGAGGTCCACACATGGCTGGCTGGGGAATTCTGGGAGCTGAGGTCCACACATGGCTGGCTGGGGGATTCTGGGAGTTGAAGTCCACACATCTGAAAGTCACCAAAGCTGAGAAACACTGATCTAAACTCAAGTCCTTAAAAACTAACTGAAGTCTTTGCAAAACTGGGTTGTGCAAACTGCCTCTATTGTGGTTTGTTGAAAAATCTCTGCTCAACTGGGTGGCCAGGAATGGGAACAAAAGCACCGAAATGTTTATAGGGAGCCAAGTCTCTGGAGCCGAATTTCCATTGTGTCACAAGGCCATGCCAAAAATACTCATGATAAAGAGCATCGCACAAGAGCCTCTGTGTGTAGAACGCACCACCCGTCAAAACTGCAGCTCGGCTAACTCTGAAAGATCACATTCAGTGGTTCTGAGATCACACCTGCCAGCTCCTTTTGAACCCTGGGAAGTAATCCATCTGGTCCTGGTGATCTGAACTTATTTAGAATGGATGTGGGAAGTCCTCAACTTACAGCCATTCATTTAGGGACTGTTCAAAGTTACAACGGCACCGAAAAAAGTGACTTACGACCGTTGCAGCATGTCCCACGATCACGCGATCAAAATTCGGATATTTGGCAACTGGTTCGTATTTATGACGGTCGCAGCATCCTGGGGTCATGTGATCCCCTTTTGCGAACTCCTGACAAGCAAAGCCAATGGGGAAGCCGGATTCACTTAACAGCCACGTTGCTCACTTATGAACTGCAGTGATTCACTTAACAACTGTAGCAAGAAAGGTCGTAAAATGGGACAAGACTCACTTAACAACTGTCTTGCTGAGCAGGAGGAATTTAGAAAGGTCGTAAAATGGGACAAGACTCACTTAAAAACTGTCTTGCTGAGCAGGAGAAATTTTGGGCTTGTTGTGGTCATAGCCTGAGGACTACTGAAGGTCTTCTGTCCATTCTATGCTAGCTGGGGAATTCTGGGAGTTGAAGTCCACCCCTCTTGAAGTTACCAGGGTTGAGAAACTAGGACACACCTGGGCACTTCATGGCCCCCAGGCCACATCTGGCCCTTGGGCTGTCCTTGTCCAGTCTGTGTGAGGTCATTCAGAAGATAAGATATAAGATATAAGATATAAGATAAGTGTCATGTAATATTCAATAGCTTTGTTGTCATTTTTTTACTGTGGGCACAACGGCACACATCAAAACATGAAATGTAGTTGCCTGCTCTCAAAGTGAAACACATACATGACACACACCTAAACATACTATGAACAACATATGTGTAGACCCACACCCCTACATATACGTAGCAAATAAATATTAAATACTGTCCATCTTGAATATATAACGGAAGGAGGAAGCTTGAGAGTTCACAAGGTTAATGCTGTATGGAATGAAACTCTGGCTGAATCTGGATGTTCTGCTACGGATACCATGGAGCCCCCTCCTCCCAGAAGGTAACAAGGAAAACAGGTCGTGAAGAGGATGTGTAGCGTCCCAGATAATCTTGCGGACCCTGCTCAAGCAGCGCTTCTGTGCCATGTCCTGGATGGGAGGGAGGGAACTGCCAATGATCTTTTCTGCCGTCCTCACCACTCTCTGCACCGCCTTCAGAAATCAACGTGTACGCCATGAACACAATACAACTGCATTGTTTTTATTTTGAAAGCGACTGCTTATTTTTTTTTTATCTACTTCCTGCATTCCTGCCCACTTTCGCCTCTTCTCAGTTATATTGGTTCACCCCCCACGACACTCTCAGCTTCCCATCTGGCTCCTTCATTGCCCATCACTGTTTTAGGGGTGAGATGAGAAAAATTCTTTTTATGACACTGTTGTTGGTTGTATAGCAGCCAGAATCATCTGATGGGACAGTACAGCTCCTCAATCTACGGCCACGACTGAGCCCAACATTTCTGTTGCTAAGGGAGCCAGGGGTTAAGTGAGTTTTGCCTGATTTTGCAAACTTTCTTGTCACAGTCGTTAAGCGAATCACTGCAGCTGGTAAATTGGTTGTAAAGTGAATCCGGCCTCCCCCTGGACTTTGCTTGTCAGAAGGTTGCAAAAGGGGATCGCGTGACCCCCGGGGGACAACGGTGACCATCATAAATAGGAGCCAGTTGTGCCAGCATCTGAATTTTGATCATGTGATTTTGGGGATGCTGCAACGGTTGAAAGTCTGAAAAATGGTCGTTAAGTCACGTTTTCCAATACTGTTGTAACTTTGAACGGCCACTAAACAAACTGTCGTAAGTCGGGGACCACCTGCAGTCGCTTTTCCCAGCAGGTTTTTTTTGTTTTTTGTAACCAGTGGAACAGCTTGCCACCAGAAATCATGGGCGCCCCATCACTAGAGATTTTTAAGAAGAGGTAGCTAGACAGTCACTTGTCTGAAATGATATGGGTTCTCCTGCTCAAGCGGGGGCTGGACTAGAAGACCTCCAAGGTCCCTTCCAGCTCTATTCTATTCTATTCTATTCTATTCTATTCTATTCTATTCTATTCTATTCTACATTCCATTATTCTATTCTATTCTATTCTATTCTATTCTATTCTATTCTATTCTATTCTATTCTATTATTCTATTCTATTCTATTCTATTCTATTCCTTCAGAAATCGTGGGCGCCCCATCACTGGAGGTTTTTAAGAAGAGGCTAGACAGTCACTTGTCTGAAATGGTATAGGTTCTCCTGCTCAAGCAGGGGGGCTGGACTAGAAGACCTCCAAGGTCCCTTCCAGCTTCTATTCTATTCATCCTTCGTTTTGCATTATGAAAATATTACTTCCTAGGAGGGCAATATTGGCGTAGAGGTAAGTCCTCGATTTACAAACACCAACATTTCTGTTGCTAAGCAAGATGGTTGTTAATTGTACCTGATTTGGATCACGTGGCCCTGGGGAAGGCCACGTGGACTTCTGGGAGCTGAAGTCCACAAGTCTTAAAGTTGTCAAGGTTGCAGATCCCTGAGCTAGTGTAAACATCTGTCAGCCCTTGGAGACAGATGAAAAACAGAGCACCCTTAATAGTTGCTAAGAGCGGAAACTTCAACAGACACAAGGATGTTAGGCAGCCCTAAAATAAATAGGTTCTGGGGCAGCATGGTTAAAAAAAAAACGCCCACAGTCTGGTATTCTTCTGCATCAAAGTAATCTAAAAGATCACAATTAGAAGCAGAATTTCTGTTGCTAAGCAAGGCTGATCTTAAGGGAGCCAGGCCTGATTTCACAATCTTTTTTTTTTTTTGCCATGAATGTTAAACAAATCACAGCAGTTGTAAAGGGAATCACACAGTTCAGCAGATCCAGCTTCCCGCATCCTCCCCTTGTCGGAAGCCAGCTGAGAGGGACACAAATGTGGTCACAGGACCCCAAGAGGCTACCGTAAATACACGCAATTTTGATCGTGTGGCCACAGGGATGCTTGTGAGGACCAGTTCCAAGTCAGACTTTTGTCCGTGTAACATCAAGCGGTCTAAAACAAATGGTTGTAAGTGGAGGACTACATACATTTTGATGGGAGTTCCTATGCCAATTTCCTATGTCAGTTTCAACCAGTGGTGGGATTCAGCCGGTTCCCACCATTTTGGCAGAACCGGTAGCTAATTTTTTGTTGCCCAGGCCCAGAACGGACTTCCGGAAGCAGCATCCACACAGAGAACCAGTTGTTTACATATCTGAATCCCATCACTGGTTTCAATCCATAGGCCCACGGGAATGCTGCGGGTCCCCACCTACTGGAAGTGAAACCATGGGATCAGTGGTGGGATTCAAATATGTGAACAACCGGTTCTCTGTGTGGATGCCACTTCCGGAAGTCCGTTCTGGGCCTGGGCAACAAAAAAGTAGTTACCGGTTCTGCTGAACTGGTGCGAACTGGCTGAATCCCACCACTGCATGGGATGAACAGTTAAGGTAGGGGTCTTCAGACTTGGCCCTTTTATGACTTCTGGACTTCAACTCCCAGAATTCCTCAGCCAGTGTGCCACAAGTCCACAAGTCATAAAAGGGCCAAGTTTGAAGACCTCTGAGTTAAGGGAACTAGTTATTTCTAGCCTAACAAAGGGAAAGGTTAGGAGTGATGTGATAGCTGTCTTCCAGTACTTAAGGGGCTGTAATAGAGAAGGGGGGGTCCACCTGTTCTCCAAAGCACCTGAGAGCAGGACAAGAAGTAACGGGTGGAAGACCGTTAAAAAGAGAGCCAACCTAGAAGTAAGGAGAAAGTTCCTAACAGTGAGGACAATTAACCAGTGGAACAGCTTTGCCTTCAGAAATTGTGGGTGCTCCATCACTGGGTTTTTTTAAGAAGAGACTAGACCAGGCGTAGGCAACCTTGGCTCTTTTATGACTTGTGGACTTCAATACCCAGAATTCCCGAATCAGCCATGCTGACTCAGGAATTCTGGGAGTTGAAGGTCCACAAGTCATAAAAGAGCCAAGGTTGCCTACCCCTGGACTAGACAGTCACTTGTCTGAAATGGTAGATTCTCCTGCTTGAGCAGGGGGCTGGACTAGAAGACCTCCAAGGACCCTTCCAGCTCTATTCTATTCCTGACAGTGAGAACAATTAATCAATGGAATGGTTTCCCTCTGAAAGTTGTGGGTGCTGTTCCATCACTGGAGGTTTTTGAGAAGAGATTGAACAACCACTTGATCGGGATGGTATAAGTTCTCCTGCTTTGACGCGGTTGGGCTAGAAGACCTCCGAGGTCCCTCCCAGCCTTATGAGTCTATGAGATGAGAAGGGACCCTAAAGCTGGTGTTCGGAGGGGCCTCCCTTCTTCTAAAACAGACGGCACTCAAGGCAAGGGGAGGGTGTCTTGGAGACTCATAAGAACCTTATTGTTCCAAAGGGCCTTGGGGCCTTGAATACAATTGAGCTCCTGAGTGCCAGGAATATTATTTTCATTGCAATGTTGGAACTCTATATTGTTGCTCTTTCATTATCCATTAGGGCCCTTGTTCCTTTTTTGCCTGCTAAATGGGTTAGGGCAGGGGTGGGGAAACCTTGGCTCTTTTAGGACTTGTGGACTTCAACACTGGCTCAGGAATCCTGGGAGCAGAAGTCCACAAGTCCTAAAAGAGCCAAGGTTTCCCCACCCCTGGGTTAGGGCTAACTTTAAGGTTAGGGTCATCAGCTGTTGGTTGACCACTACAAATTTATGTTCCCACACCATCATCATTACAAGGGTGTCACACCAAGGCATGACATTGAGAACAGGCAAAATCTTTTTGGATATGAAATTTCAATACTGGTGGCAGGCAAAAAAACAAAAAAAAAAGGAACAAGATTGTATTGAAGTTTTATTGATGTTATTGCATGAGCTGCAGCTGTTGCTTCTGTAAACGGCTGAGAGTTCCTTTGTCTGCAGCCGTTAATAAATTCGTTTAAGACAATAAGGAGAAACTTCCTGACAGTGAGAACAATTAGCCAGTGGAACAACCTGCCTCCAGAAGCGGTGAATGCTCCAATACTGGAAGTTTTTAAGAAGAGATTGGACAGCCATTTGTCTGAAATGGTGTAGGGTCTCCTGCCTGAGCAGGGGGTTGGACTAGATGACCTCCAAGGTCGCTTCCAACTTTACTACTAATATTATTATTATTATTATTATTATTATTATTATTAATAATAATAATAATAATAATAATAATAATAATAATAATAATAATAAGTTTCCCCAAATTGCAGACCTATCCATTTCATTGCTTCCTTATTTCCAGGGAGCTGATTTGTCAAATTTGCATTTTAGTGGCCATTTTTCTTACTCCACATAAACTTCTCAAACCACTATAAGGCAGTCCTCGATTTACGATCACAATTGGGCCCAAAATTTCTATTAAGTGAGACATTTGTTGGCATGAAATGGCATGAAATGCGTGCATGCATTGTGAGTGCAGATGAGTCATGTATGTGCTGTGTGGACCCGAGTTACAACAGGTAGCCTGTTGGGGAATGCGTGGCATACGGTAGTTTCCAAGAGTTTAGTTAAAGTGAGTAGGCTCATACTATTCCCACATTTTTAATGAAATTTCATTCCCCATTGGCTGGGGAATTCTGGGAGTTGAAGTCCACCCATCTTAAAGTTGCTGAGGTTGAGAAACATTGCCTTAAGGCAGTGATGGCGAACCTTTTAGAGACCGAGTGCCCAAACTGCAACCCAAAACCCATTTATGCTTCGTCAAGTGCTGGGTGGGCGTGGCCCATTGTGTGGGCGTGGCTGCGGTGGTAACGGCAGACTGGGTGGGATTAAAAAGTTCAATCAATTCCAACTTTGCAAGATCTTTTTTTTCCTGCAAAAAGTTGAAATTGACTGAATGAACCTTTTTTTTTTTTTTGCACATGGCGGCGGAGGCCTAAAGCGAAAAGATTTTATAAAACCCAGCTGAAGGCCTAGGACTGGGGCGACGGTGCCTGTGCTCACAGAGAGGGCTCTGTGAGCACACTTGTGCCATAGGTTCGACACCACTGCCTTAAGGTAATGGTGAAAGCAGTTACCTTTTTTTTCAGGTTTACACCGAAGACTGAAGGCCTCTTGCAGCTGTGTTTGTGTGAGCTGTGTTTGTGTGAGCTGCAAAACACTTCTCCCCAATCCTCTCTGAGTGGTGCGTTTTCCTAAGGTATTTTCCAACTGCAAAGAGTTTTACAGATCTTCGTTCTTAACGTTGAATTTACAAGCATTCCCAAGCAATTACTTTACTCTTAGGAAAGCTGGAATTTCTATTGCAAGAGGATCAAGCTGTTGCTTACTGCCCAGAGAGACACACAGATTGGATTTGGGGCAATTTAGGTGACAAAAAGCCCCCTCCCTTAAAACTCAGAGCCCACCCCCCTTCTCCCTTTTTCATACCACTAGAAGCAAACAGAAGCCTCTCTTTGAAGCTGCTCTTTTGAACAGGCTTTCAGTCCCATTCTTCGTGGAACAGAGATGGCCTCTGTTTGTTCAGTGGCTGCATGGCAGGATCCTTTGATCTTTTCTTTTTCTTTTTCTAATTAAAACTGGGTCTGGGGAAAGTCATCTCTCAGCTCCCTCCCAATGGAGGCGATGCTGCCTTAAAAAAACAGGTCCCTCCTCTATGGAGGGAACAGGCTATAAATCACAGAGCTTTCACTTCGGAAAGCAGAATAATTTGAAAATGGGACATTTCTGAATCAAACCGGTCAGTCCTAGAAGAGATCAACCCTGACTGCTCTTTAGAAGGCCAGATCCTGAAGTTGAAACTCAAGTACTTTGGCCACCTAATGAGAAGGAAGGACTCACTGGAGAAGAGCCTAATGCTGGGAAAGATGGAGGGCAAGAGAAGAAGGGGACGACAGAGAATGAGGTGGCTGGATGGAGTCACTGAAGCAGGAGGCATAAGCTTAAAGGGACTCCAGAAGATGGTAGAGGACAGGAAGGCCTGGAGGAATGTTGTCCATGGGGTCGCGATGGGTCCGACACAACTTCACAACTAACAACAACAAGAAACAGACCCACACCCACCCTCCTCTGGACTGGCTCCGTTCTCTTCCCAGATGCCGGGAGTTGCCCACCCACTTGCCCTTCCAATCTCTGGATCCAGACAGACACAGACCCCATTGATTGCCATCAAAACCCACAAGGCAGCAGCCCGACGTACCCGTGTTGGCTTCGTAGTCTCCGATGAACCTCTTGGTGAGAAACCGCACAACAAGGGCTGCAAAACAAGAGAAAAGACCGGGGTGTTTAATGGGCTCAGAAATTGCCACGCAGGAAAAAAGAGGGGCAATTAAATGTGCCCATTCTGTCTCATTATCCCATGAATCTCATTATTTGTGTGTGTGTGTTGGAAACTCTTCTGGCTGACTGATTCAGTAGACCGTCCCACCGTTTCGCAAATGCAAACATTAAGATGCCTGTTCTTAAACCATCCATGGCATATTTAAAAAGAAAAACTTAATTAGGATTATTTAGGACTCTTATATGGATCAGGAGCCAGCCTTACAGGGAAAGCAAGGCAAAAAAAGTCAAGATGGTGGAATTGAAGCCCCACCCATTATTATGTGTACAGGTAGTCCTCGACCTATGGCCACAGTTGAGCCCAAAATTTCTTTTGCTAGGTGAAACAGTTAAGTTACTTTTGCCCCATTTTACGACCTTTCTTGCCACAGTTGTTAAGTGAATCCCTGCAGTCATTAAGTTAGCAATACGGTCGCAAGGCTTCCCCTTTGACTTTGCTTGTCAGAAGGTCGCAAAAGGTGATCACAGGATCCCGGGACACTGTGACCGTCATAAATATGGGTCAGATGCCAAGCGTCTGAATTTTGATCACGAGTCCATGGGGATGCTGCAACGGTCATAAGTATGAAAAGTGGTCCTTAGTCACTTTTTTCAACGCCGTTGTAACTTCAAACAGACTACCTGTATTTTACACGTGTTCTAGCTTCAGTCGCAGCACTGTGATGGCCATCTTGACTTTTTTGACCTGCCCTGCAACACCCCTGCAATCATGCCACACCAACCAGCACATAGTTAGCAAGATCTCTGCTCTCTATGGCACACAACTGATGCTCTCTAAGGCCTACATTATGCCATGCACATTCCTGCAGATCTGAGTTGTAATACAACACACACATTGTATTCAACAGAATAAAAATAGTTCGGGATTGAACTGTGGAGTCCTTGAGCTTGAGAATGAGAGAGAGAATGAGAGAATGTGAGAGAGCGAACAAGAGAGAGAGAGAGAGAATGTGAGAGGGAACGAGAGAGAGAGAGAGAGAGAGAGAGAGAGAGAGAGAGAGAGAGAGAGAATAAGAAAATGAGAAAGAGAGAAGCAGCTTCTATATGGCTAAGGGGAGACTAAAATTTACCCACTTCTGCCTTCTAGTCAGCATCTTCACCACTACACCAACTAAATTCTCCTGCATCTTTTTAAACAGATACAAAAGTAAAACACTATGGCTAAGAGTAGCATGACCATTTTTACAGGCAGTCCTCAACATACATCAAAAATGGAGTCTTCCCATTACAGTCAAATGTTGTGACAGTCGTAAAATAGTTTGGTCATGTGACTTAACTGATTTTACAACCCTTTTTGCAGTGGTCATTAAAACCAAGCTGGGTTGCTGAGCGCTTGAAGTTCAGCCAGACGGCTGGGAGGGGCCTGGCCATCCCAATGTCTGAGTCGTAAGTCCCCCTTTTGGGGGGGGTTTGTGATTTTGAATGGTCACTACACAATCTGTCATAAGCTGAGGACTTCCTGTACATCCTTAAAAGCTACCATAACTGGTAAATATAATAAAATATAGGGAATCCTCAACTTATGACCACAGTTGAGCCCAAAATTTCTGTTGCTAAGTGAAACATTCGGTGAGTTTTGCCTTATTTTACGACCTTCCTTGCCACAGTTAAGTGAATCACTGCAGTTGTTAAGTTAGCACCAGCGTTGGTAAGTGAATCTGTCTTCCCCATGGACATTGCTTGTCAGAAGTTGCAAAAGGGATCACGTCACCCCAAGACACTGCACCCGTCATGAATACGAGTCAGTGGCCAAGCATCAATTTTGATACTGTGATCTTGGGGATGCTGTAATGGTTGTAAGCATGAAAAAGGATCGTAAGTCACTTTTTTCAGTGATGTCGTAACTTTGAACAGTCACTAAACGAACTGTTGTAAGTCATGGACTACCTGTAGCTGCAAACCTACATACATCCTAGCCCAGGGGTGGGGAACCTTAGCTCTTTTATGACTTGTGGACTTCAACTCCCAGAATTCCTGAGCCAGCATGGTCAGCATAAGCCATTGATGTGGTCACTCGGAGTCGACACTGACTTGGCGGCACAAACACAGTAATCCATCAATCAATTTTAGAAGATCCGTGATTAAATAATTGATTAGCGGGACTTGCAATATGGGTAGTCCTCGGCTTACAACAGTTTTGTTTAGTGACCACTCAAAGATACAATTGCATTGAAAAAAGGGACTTTTTCACACTTATAACCGTTGCAGCATTTTGTGGTCACGTGATCAGAATGCAGACACTAACCTAAGAACTTCAGTGATTCACTTAACAACTGTGGCAAGAAAAGTCATAAAATAGGGCAAAATCCACTTAACGACTGTCTCGCTTAGTAACAGAAATTTGGGGCTCTATTGTGGTTGTAATTTGATGACTGCCTGTACAGAAAGCTTTAAAATGCGACTTTAAATCTCCTTTGTAAAAATGAGCAAACGTAATTATGGTTTTTTCATGACATAAAAGGTAGGGATTATGTGATTGTGGTTGCCTATTTTGACTTTTTTTTAACCCCTTCCTCCTTTTCTTTCCCCATCTCTTTCCCCTTCTCCTTCTCCTTCCCCTTCTTCCATCTCCTTCTCCTTCCCATGAATATTATCTCTTTTCATCAAACTAAAAACCTCTGCCTGCAGTTCCTTCCCCATTGAGGGACGTAGCCGGTCCCTTGAACCCCTGGCCAAAAGCTCTCAGGAAGATGCCTTTACGATTTCAGCTGCGCCTCTTACGCAGGCAGCCCCAGCAAACCGACAGTTCCCCACGATGGAGGGGACTGGATGTTACTGGAGGTTAGGCCAGGAGACCTTTTTGCTATAAATTTCCTATTGTGTTTTCACACTTCGAAAAGGCTCCCATTTTATTTATTTATTTATTTTTGCCTGGCTTTCTCGCATTCTTTCAGCAGGGAGGCTGGGAAAGGGTGACCCTCCGCCACGGGGTCACCCTTGTCACAACTCATTGTACTTCCTTGACTAAATGGAATTTCTTCCAGCAGAGGGTTTTTTTTTTTCTGCCCAGCTTATTCCTTTGAGGAAACGGGTCACGTGAGAAGAACAACGCCGTTTCTTTCAAGCAAAAGCCGAGCCAGAAACAGACCAGCTCCAGTTTCATACCACTTTTGTGTGGGTGGGTAGATAGATGTGAAATCATCTGGTGAAGGCCAGGGAGTCTACATGGGAAGATCCAAGCATGCATGCAAAGCTTCAGAAACACGATGTTCCCTTCACTTTGCTTGTGTGAAAGGTTATAGAAGTTCCCTGGGAAGAAGAAGGGAGGAAGAAGGGGGCGGTTAACCCACCAATTTTCCCATGCAACTGCTCCCAACCGGAAATCTAGCTTGTCTGGATAAAACCTTCCTCAACCTTGGCATCTTTAAGGTGAGTGGACTTCAAGTCCCAGAATTCCCCAGCCAGCATGCTGGCTAAGGAATTCTGGGAACTGAAGTCCATTTTAAAGATGCTACAGTAGAGACACACTGGTTTAGATCTCCTGCCAGACTCTGAGATCAGAACAAAACTCCAGAAATAAACTGGCTGGGAAAACAGACTCTTAAAAGGGATTGTAGCAGTTAAAAATCAGCGTGTGTGGAAGGATCTGTGACCTTTACGAGGTCTCTTCTCTTTGTCACATTCCCACATAAACCACACATCCCTTGGCGAGTGGGAATGCACAAGCTACCTCTAGTGAGGTTTATCACAGTGACATCTTGGTTAATGAGTTTTGTTTTCCTCAGATTACATTCCCAAAGTATCCAAGAAGCCCTGCCAAGATGGCCAGTCATGAAGACCAAACTGGCCACCTCAGATGTGGTTTGGGGAATGTTTGTAGTTCACACCAGATGAAGGTAAATCCTGATTCTCCATCATCCAGGTCTTGGTTGTTCCAAAGGCTTTTCCAAAAGGCAACTGGACTCTCTTAACCTTTTCTTTGAAAACATTTCACTTTTCATCCAAGAAACATCTTCAGTTTGAACTTGGTTAGAAATTCAGTTAGACCTGAAGAAGCTTCCTGGATGAGAAGCTAAATGTTTTCAAAGAAAAACAAACCAAAAAAGTCCACTTGCCTTTTGGAAAAGCACTTTTGGAGTAAAATCCTGTTGGTTGCTGAGGGAACCTGGTGTCCTGTTTTAAGGAGGACTTTGAAAGTCTGTCCAGTCCAGATCCAGGCTCCAAAAGAAGACTAAGAAGAAAGAGCAGAACAAGGCAAGGCATTGTCTTCTCTACAGGTAGCAGCACCTGGGGATTAGATGGGGAAATCTCATAATCCACTTGGTCACTCTCTTCCCCACTCTGGTAAGAAATCCAGCATGCCTTTTAAAATGACAGTAACATACATGTTTGTATTTGTTCTTCTGAAAGATCCCAATACGTCTGTCTTCTTGGTCAGAGATATTTAAGGGCCACTCTTCCTAAGATCTCAGGACACAATGCAGAATTCTTCACCATGAGCAACCGCACAGGTGAAAACTCTCCACTTCATGAAACACTCTGTGGATGTTGAGACAGATTTTACACCATTGCTACTATGTGCCCACCACCTGCCCAAAGGATTGGTTTGAGGAATCTGGCCGAAACAGACCTTCTCCCTTTGGTGCCTGCTGGATTTTGCTATCTTTCACCAGTCACTGGTTTTCCCAGTTGCAATGTATGGCTATGAAAGTTGGACCATAAGACTCCTGTGAGTCCCCTGGACTGCAAGGCAATCAAACCAGTCAGTCCTAGAGGAGATCAACCCTGACTGCTCTTTAGAAGGCCAGATCCTGAAGTTGAGACTCAAGTACTTTGGCCACCTAATGAGAAGGAAGGACTCACTGGAGAAGAGCCTGATGCTGGGAAAGACTGAAGGCAAGAGAAGAAGGGGACGACAGAGAATGAGGTGGCTGGATGGAGTCACTGAAGCAGGAGGCGTGAGCTTAAATGGACTCCAGAAGATGGCAGAGGACAGGAAGGCCTGGAGGAACGTTGTCCATGGGGTCGCGATGGGTCGGACACGACTTCGCAACTAACAACAACAACAAGCTTAAAGCAATGTTAAGTTTGATGATGTAACCTGAAATACTTGAATGTAAAACTGGAAAACCAATAAAAACTTGTTTTAGAAGGTCTTTTGAGACCTTCTGACAAGGAAAGTCGATGGGGAAGCCACTTTCACTTAACTAATTTAAAAACTGCAGTGATTCACTTAACAAAAGTAGCAAGAAACGGGACAAAACTCACTTAACCAATGTCTCACTTAGCAACATAAATGCTGGGCTCAATTGTGGTCGTAAGTCGAGGACTTCTTATATTTTCCAAAGCACCAAAAGAAAAGATGAGAAGCAACGGATGGAAACTAATCAAGGAGAGAAGCAACCTAAAACTAAAGAGAAATTTCCTAACGGTGAAGACAATTAATCAGTGGAATGCCTTCCCTTCAGAAGTTGTGGGTGCTCCCATCACTGGAGGCTTTTAGGAAGAGACTGGACAACCATTGGTCTGAAATGGTATAGGGTCTCCTGCTCAAGCAGGGGGTTGGACTAGACAACCTCCAAGGTCCCTTCCAACTCTATTATTCTATGTTCTATGAGAACATAAAAGATGCTTGCTCCTGGGGAGGAAAGCTATGGCAAATCACGACAGCATACTAAAAAGCAGAGACATCACCCTGCCAACAAAAGTGCGTATAGTCAAGGCCACGGTTTTCCCAGTTGCAATGTATGGCTGTGAAAGTTGGACCATAAGAAAGGCTGAGCGACAAAGAACTGAGGCCTTTGAACTCTGGTGCTGGAGAAGACTCCTGCGAGTCCCCTGGACTGCAAGGCGATCAAACCGGTCAGTCCTGGAGGAGATCAACCCCGACTGCTCTTGAGAAGGCCAGATCCTGAAGTGGAAACTCAAGTCCTTTGGCCATCTAATGAGAAGGAAGGACTCACTGGAGAAGAGCCTAATGCTGGGAAAGATTGAGGGCAAGAGAAGAAGGGGACGACAGAGAAGGAGGGGGCTGGATGGAGTCACTGAAGCAGGAGGCGTGAGCTTCAATGGACTCCAGAAGATGGTAGAGGACAGGAAGGCCTGGAGGAACGTTGTCCATGGGGTCGCGATGGGTCGGACAGGACTTTGCAACTAATAATGAGAAGGATCACTCAGGTCTCACCACCATCTGACCAACCATCAGCCCTCTTTTGCAGCTTCAGCCTGAGGTCAATCAAGCCGCTGGGCGGCTTTATCTCATTCATGGCTGATTGTCCACCCTGGGGACCTCTCTTTGACCAATCCAGGACAATGAGCTTCTGGAGAAACCCAGCGGTGCCTCTTCAAAACGCCCAGGGCTGGCCTGCTTGCCCTGCCCCAGACCTGGCTTCTTTCACTGGAAATGCAAAACATCTCCTGAACTTCGGTGTCCCTCAGAACAAGGCCAGCTCCGGAATCGTTCCTTCTATCAAACATTAACAGAGAAGCGGCTGAAAGCGCAGCGGGTCCAAAGAAGGGAGAGGCGGAGGAGCGGGGAGGGAAGGGAAGCACAATTCCCCCTTCTTGGGGGGGGGGTGGGGGAATGCAGTGGGGGGGGGCTTCCCCAGGCACTTACCGGTCTTTCCCACGCCGCTTCCCCCCAGGACCACCAGCTTGATGATTTTGTTGGGCGCGCACTCCAGGAGCGGGTATTCCGGGATGGGAAGCAGGAGGAAATTCATGGAGTACTGGGACATAGTAATCCAGCCGGGCATGCCAGGGGAAGAGAGCCGAGGAAAGAGCCCCAGAGGCGCTTGGAGGAGTCCTGGAAAGGGGGGGCAGCCTCCAGGGGAGAGGCGGGGGCTTCGGGCTTCCCTGCTGCCCTCCCCGGCATGGTCAGGCCAGCGGCATGGCTGGAGGAAGGAACCCGGCCGGGCAGCCCCTTCCCCAAAGGCTCTGCTCCGGCGAGCAGGGGGAAGTTTGCATCGTTGCAAACTCCAGGGAAAGCTGACTCCGGCGCTCCTCAGCCAATCAAACGGGCCGGGCCGGCATTCCAGCAAAGGGGGGGGGGGAGGCAGACGGACCGGGCCTCCTGCTCGCTCGCCCACCCCACCACCCACCCTCCCCTGCCTCCGGCTCGGCTCTCCTCCGCAGCTTGCCAGGTGCCCACTATTTGAGCGGACAGTCCACTTTTTTCACATTATGTTCACTATTTTTTTTTCACAAAATAGACTTAGGGTTGCCAGGTCTGCTTCCCAAAAATAGCGGACAAGCGGGGGGGGGGGGGGG